CTCAATATTCCCTCTGAAGGTAATAAACTTAATTCATTTGTACAATCACTTCCAACTCGTCATCACCTGTTTCCGTGAAAGGACTGTTCCTTCTATCCAAGGCTAATTCTTCCATCTGAGCTTTGAATCCCATTCCCTCTGCCTCCATTGAGCACCCCTTTATTTCCACTATCTTTTAAAAAAAAAATCACGAGCTCATATAAATTAAGTTATATGAGAAGCCAATATCTTTTTTTAAAACATATTTTTTTTTAAAAAAAACATATTTTATTGATTTTTTACAGAGAAGAAGGGAGAGGGATAGAGAGTTAGAAACATTGATGAGAAAGGTACATCGATCAGCTGCCTCCTGCACACACCCCACCAGGGTTGTGCCCGCAACCAAGGTACATGCCCTTAACTGGAATCAAACCTGGGACCCTTCAGTCCGCAGGCCGACGCTCTATCCACTGAGCCAAACCGGTTAGGGCTATTTCGACTATCTTTCACCTCTTTCTTTTTCTGCTAGCTCTTTTCCCTTCAGCATAACTTTTTTGACTCCATAGCCTTCTAGGTATGTGTCTATCTTTCTTTTTACATTTACTACAAGTTTCATGGAAAAAAACACACACCTATTTTTTGTCTAATTTCACTGTTCATTCCTTTCTAAACCAGATTCCTCAATTGGAATGTTATTGGCATTTTGGGCCTGACTATTCTTTGTTGTGGGGGCTGTTCTGTTCACTGTAGGATGGTTAGCAGCATCTCTGGCCTTTATCCACTAGATGCCAGTAGCATCTTCCCAGTAACAACACAAAATACCTCCAGACATTGTCAAATAACCCCTGTGGGTCAAAATCGACCCCAGATAAGAGCCTCTGTTCTAAAATAAAGGGCGGTTGCTAAAGCTGCTCTTACAGATCTCCTTATTGCCAAACTAATGGACATTTCATATTCTTGATTACCCACTTTGATACTGAAACTTTTTCTTACTTGTCCTGTTACCTACCTCTCTAGTTTCCTTTTTCCCTTTGCTCTGGCCCATCTGTATCTTTTTTGGAACTTTGTTCCATTCTTCAACTCTTAAAATATCAGACATCCCCAGTTGTCTGTCTTTTCTCAATTATACTCTGGGTGAACTCATCCAAAATTTTTGTGTCAGCTATCACATATAAGTTAATGAGTCCAAATTTCTGCCTTCAGTCCAGACCTCTCTTCTGAGCTCCAGACCCATATATCCAACAGTTTACTGGAATCTCCACTTTGGGTAAATGCTAGACACCTCAAACTCAACTTGCCCAATAAAGAAGTAATCATTTCCTTTCTTTCAACTTCCTCCCTCATGCTGCCCTAACCAAAAGTCCCAAACCCCAAAAAGTTGGATTTTGCAAACTATGTTTCTTTCTTGAATAGCACCAGCACCCCCTATTATCCAGTTATTCAATTTTCTTATCTTTTGAATCTGTCCCTTCTCATTCTCATTTCTACTCTTGCTCCTCTCCATTCCACCCTCTATTTTGCTTATACAATGGGATCTCTAATAATCAAATCTGATCTTTAGTCCTCTGATTGGTTTCCTTTAATGGCTTCAGTATAAAATAGGCCAAACTCCTTATCCTAGCAAAAGCAACCTTACTTAATGATTTCTGTCTACTTTTCTTCCCTTGTCTCTTGATAATTTCCCTGCACAACACATTCAGTAGTTTCCAGTAGAGAGTTTGCTTCCTGCTGTTTCAAGTACAGGATTCTGTACTTTAGCATGTGCTGATATTACTGCCTGGAATGCCCTCTCCTTTTGCTTTATTTAACTGTGTTTGTTAATGTTGCTAAATTTAGTTTAAATATCACCTACTCTTGGCTTGACTACAGTGTTCCATCTTTGTGTTCTCAGCACAGTAGTACACCATCCTATCCCTTCCACATTATAGAGTAAATAATGAATTTGCTTTCGTCGTCTCGTAAAGCACTGCCAGTAAGGCAATGATTATGTATTTAGTACTCACAGTACCCAACACAACATCTAGCACATTGTAACTATTTGATAAGTGTTTGTTAAACAAATGAATACTAAAATACCTGAGATATTTGAGATTTTCAATATTTAAATATTTCAGAGACTTATAGATTGATTAGAGGTAGGGAATGAGGAAGAGGGAGTAGTGAAAGATGACCTTTAGGTTTCTAGTTAGATAACTTGGTCCTATTGACTGAGGCAGGAAAGATTGTGATGCATTGGGTGTAAATACAATCTTTCTCCCTCCCTCCCTCCCTCCCTTCCTTTATTTTGGACAAGATGGGTTAGAGATGCCTGGGGGGATTAAAGTGGAAGTGACATATCCAGTGCAGTTAGCCAATATGTCTGGATCAGTATGTGGTCCAATAGATATATAATGTGAGCTACAAATGTAATTTCTAGTAGCCATATGTATTTTTTGTTTATTTACTCTTTATTTTTGTTAATCCTCACATGAGGATTTTTTTTTTTCTATTGCTTTTCAGAGAGAGTGGAAAGGAGGGAGTGGGGAGAGAAATATCATGTGAGACAGACACATGTGGTTGCCTCTCTCACACACCCGGACTCAGGGGAGGGAGTGAACCTGAAACTTGGAATAGAACCGTGCGGGGTGGGGGTGGGGGGATAGGGACACTAACTAATGAGAACACTGGCCAAGGCTCTACTAGCCATATTTTAAAGAAGTAAAAGATCCCTAACTGGTTTGGCTCAGTGGCTAGAGCGTTGGCCTGCGGACTCAAGGGTCCCAGGTTCAATTCTGGTCAAGGGCATATACCTTGGTTGCGGGCACATCCCCAGTAGGGAGTGTGCAGGAGGCAGCTGAATTGATGTTTCTCTCTCATCAGTGTTTCTAACTCTCTGTCCCTCTCCCTTCCTCTCTGTAAAAAAATCAATAAAATATATTTAAAAAAAGGTAAAAGAAATAGTTGAAATTAACTTTAATAGTATATTTTATTTTATTTAACATTTAACCTTGCGCTTTCTCAACTGTATTCTTAATATTTGGGGCTGGGCAATACTTTGTTGTGGAGGGCTATCATATGCATTGTAAGATGTTTAGCAGCATCCTTGGCCTCTTTGTTAGTAAATGCCAGTAGCCACAAACACCCTGACCCAAATTGTGACTACCAAAATGTCTCTAGATATTGCTGAATGTCCTGAGGCAGGGGGGTGGGGGAGCAAAACCATCCCTGCTTGAGAACCACTGATTTAACTCAATATAGCCAAGATATTATTTCCACATGTAATCAGTATTAAAAATTATTGAGATTTTTTGTAATGTATCTTTGAAATTGAATATACATTTTTCACTTACAGCATTTTTGTTTTTCTTTTTAAAAATAATTTTAAATTGATTTTTGAGAGAGAGTAGAAGGGAGTGTGGGAGAAACAACCGATTGACTGTATCCTGCATGTCCCCCACTAGGGATGGAGCCTGCAACCTGGGCATGTGCCCTGACCAGAATCGAACTTGTGACCTTTAGGTGTATGGGACAATGTTCAACCTACTGAGCCACAGTGGCCAGGACTTCAGTTACAGTATTATTCATTTTACTAGCTACATTTTAAGCACTTAATAGCTACATGTAGCTAGTGCCTACCCGATTAAGGAGGACAGGTCAAGAGCTTTTGAAAAAAGGTTAGGTCTAGAAATATAGAAAATGTAAGTCTGGAAATACATGACTTAAAAAATTATGAGCCGATAACAGTTAAATCATGGCAGTAGATAAGACAGTCCAGGCAGAACTTTATATTCAGAGGGAGAAAGGAGGATTGAGGAAAAATCCTAGTCCAATGCTCTCCCAGTTTCCCCATATGATCTGATACTCATTGTTTTTATTTTATTAAAATATAATTTTATTGATTTCAGAGAGGAAGGGAGAGGGAGAGAGACATAGAAACATCAATGATGAGACTCATTGATCAGCTGCCTCCTGCACACCCCCTATTAGGGATCAAGCCTGCAACCTGGGCATGTGCCCTTGACTGGAATCGAACCTGAGACCCGTAAGTCTGCAGGCCGAAGCTCTATCCACTGAGCCAAACCAGCTAGGGCCTCATCTTATTATTTTTAAATATTTTCTTCACTGAAGAAAATGGAGACTATGAGTGAACAAAAGAAAGGGAATTGAGGAAAACTTGATGACAAAGGGAAGGAATTAACGTTTATTGAACACTTCACTGGTAAATAATGTTCGAAGCATTATATAAACTGTCTTGTTTAATCTCACAAGAACCTTTTGAGATAAATAATGATATGTCTATTTATTCGGAAGGAAACAGATTTTTTTGTTTTAGATATGCTTTCATTTTATTTTTAAAACTGAGGTTAAATCGATATTTTATTTTAAACAAATTTATAAAAGTCTAATACATCAGACAGCTAGTTGGTATCACAGCGAGTTGAAAAGAACTTGGATTCTGAAGCCTATATCCTCCTAATATACATAATGAAGCATTTGCTATCTACTGATTTTTAGAAAATAATTATAAAGGCGTGTGTGATTGTACAGCCAGTTCCCAGGATATCTAGGACTACTTCTGATCTGATCTGGAAGCAAATTCTTCTTAATAGGGAGGGGCACGATCGTTGTCATTAGCGAGTGTAACTTGGGTATCATTTGTTGTGAAAGACACTAAAGCCTATTTTTTATTTTATTTTTTTTAAAAATTATTTTATTTCAACCCTTTTTTTTAATTGTACCGTAAATATGGTCAATAATCCCGTGATCATTTGTAATTTTTAGTTACGAAAAATTAGCTAAGATGTAGTCAGTATTTTGCTTAAAAATTGCACAAGCACCAAGGAAAATGAAATACTGTAAAGCGCTTACCCGTTCGGCTTTAGGGACAGACTGGTAAAGCGAGTACAAAGGGGAGGGCCGGGGAGGCAGGGGCGGGACAGTGAGAACCGAGGCTCCGAGCAGGCGCAGAAACACACAGATGTTACTAGAGGCGTGAAGGCTACAGCGATCTCACTTTCCGAACTGTCGTAAAGCCGCGGAGTGTCGTGCTCGTTGGGTAGAAGAGGGATTGGTAAGGCGGCGGCGGCGGCAGCAGCGGCAGCAGCGGCAGCAGCAGAACAGCAGCAGTGGCGGCGACGGAGGCGAGGTGCTAGGTCCGTGCAGCATCGGAACGCCCACCGCTTGTGGGAAGGAGTTCCTGTGGGACCAAGTTAGGCATTCTGAGCCCGAACCGGCTGAGCTGGGCCGAACCAGGCGCTGCCGCTCGTACAGTTTTGGTGGCGGTGACAGACGCCGCTCCTGACTAGAGGGGCCTATCAGGCCGAGATCTGAATCGCAGATCGCCGGCTCTCGACATAGCCTCGCCCACCCTGGTATCTCCTGTCTTCCTTCCTGGGCCGGCGACTCCAGGACCCTGGGAAGAGGGCGGCTAATGACTAAGGTGAGGGGGCCAGGGGGGAGGGGATCGCCGGGAGGCCGCGCGTGCGCGCAACGGGGGAGGGGCCGGCCTGGAGGGGAGAAAGAGGAAGGGCTGCGGCCGCGGAAGGCTGGGGTCGGCGACCGGCCGGCGGTGGCTGGCGGCGTCGTGACTTAGGGTCTGGGTCTCGGTAGATGGGTGTTGGAGCGCCGCGTTCGTCCGCAGACACACCCACACCCCGCAGAGTAAGGAAGTGTGGGTGAGGGGGCTTCTTTTCCGACTCCCCTTGGAGTCGCAGGATGGGGGCCGAAGCCCCAGGCGTGGGAGTGTGATTTGACAATGGAGTGATGAGGGGAACCCGAGCCCAGGGTGTCTGTCGGAGGGCGCCGAGTCGGCCTGGCGGTTGGGGAGTTGCCTTCTGTGATCAAGGAAACGTCGTCCGCGGAACCGCAGAAATACAGACGCGCCCGATTTTGTACAGAGTTGGCTCGGTCATTAAGAAAGAAGCTTGATATTTTTGTTCTCAGATAATTTGTCAGTGGCAGTGCCGTAGGAAGTAGTTGTTCTCTGCTGCAGAAATAGAGGGTTTTCACAATCGTCCTTAAGTAGGTTACAGTAAATCTTTACGGATACTTTTTAACCTAGATCTTAAGTTTTAACGTTAAAAAAACAAAAACAAAACAGCACGAGCCAGTGTAGGGTGTTCATTTAATGTGTTCATGTTCGTGGTGTGGAGTGACTTCATTGTATTTTATGCTTTCCTGTTTCTTGATTTATATGCGGCATGAATTTAGGACCCTGAAGGGGTAAGATGCCAGCTGACATAGACTTTAGAGTTGCTATCCTTTATGAACCTGTCCATCCAAACTTTATTCCATTTGGTATTTTATGTTTAATTTTCTTGTGTTAGGGACCTCTGGAACCAAAAAGAACAGACTGGGGGAAATAGTTTCATTTCCTTTCTCATTTTTGTTTGTCATTGCTTTCCAATAATAGAAGGTAATGTCATTATTATATAGAAGTCCCATAATAATGGTTTTACTTAGCTTTATTAGGGTGAAGATCTACATTTTGATAGTTTGTTACTGTATTTTTTAGAAAAAATTTTCATATAAACCATGTTGTTTTTCATACTAAACAGTAGTCATTGGTGGTTTTTGTTGGACAAAACAGGATGAGAAAGAAGCCCTTTTACTGTAAAAATAATCTTAAATTGTCTTTTTTTTTTTTTAAAGCCTTGAATTATTTTACATTAGTTTGTCTCTTGTCATTTAACCTTGGACAAATGACATCTCTACTGCTTGCTTGTTTGTTTCCTAAGATTTAATAGTTTTTAAAGAACTAGTGAGGATATTTATGAATTGGTCTGATAAGTATTGTATGAAAAACTAGTAGAGTCTCTCCCTGTTCATCAGGGCTGCTGTATCTTATGTGTGTGGAATCTTCCATCACTTTTTTCCTTTTGTTTGGTGTCTTTTGGTCACTTTCATGTTAGCTCTTTCACTAGAGCTGATTTTTAAAGAAAGATACAGCCAAAATTCCATTTTGGTGGAAAATACGTTATAGTGGAGCTTACATCTTGACAGATTTCACTTCAGTACTTTATTTCCATGGGTAATTGAAAAATACCTATACAGGTGTTTAAAATAAGAGAACAGCAATTTACATGTCCTAAAGCAAGGAATAGTCAATAAATATTTCTAAATAGTTATTTTTACTTTAAAATGTGGAGTAAAAAACTCACTGAATTAAACCAGTTGGATTTTTTTAGATGTTTCTTTTATTATTTTGCCAAAGAAGGGTTTCTGTAACATGCTTCACTTAGAGAATAATTATATGTGCCCGTGACATTTCCCCCCCTATGAGCTAGGACTTCAATAGGGGGGAAAATGACAGTACTAAAAATGATAGTAATTAAAGTATGTTATAACACAACATTAACATTCTATGCAGGAACATTATCTTATGAAAGAATGCTGGGCTAGAGATAGGAGCTCTGGATTTAAGATCTAGCTGTGCTTGCTATTCATTAGATCTGTGACTATTGATAACCACCCTGGACTTCAGATCTCTCACTGTTAAAGGACAAGTGTGGGATAGATAACTCTTGTTTTGTCTAGGTCCCAAATTTAATGGTTGGTATTTTTACTTCGGTATTTTTGGTATTCATTGTTATATTCATTATGATCCAGTCTCCAGAAAGAATGCTATACTGAGACTCTGAGTTCATTCATGATACATACTGGTACTGTATATTAGGAAAAAAATCAGTGATGAAGCCATGTTTGTTTTTCTAGGTAATGCCTCTGTCACATTGTAGCTATTTTTCATGATTTAATAGCTCTCATGTGATATTAAAAAATGAAACTTTGTTTTAAATCCTGGTAATGCTTTTGAAATCATCCTGAATAATTTTTCTTTCAGGAAACTTATCACAGTTCAGTAAAAGCCCAGTAAAATGGCATACACCTCTGTTCTTTCTTTTCTGTATGCCACAGATTCTTGGTAACAGCTGGCCCAGGTTTCTACAGATACTCGATTTAAATCATTACATGAGGAGTGAGCGACAAATGTTTAAAAACAAATACTACTGAGCTTACATTTTAAATAGAGATACTGCCTTATTATTTAGTCATTTGGTAAGTATTTATTGAATGCCTCATGTTTTTGGCATTGTTCTTGGTCTTCAGTGAAGAAGGCACTCTGCCCGCATGGGGTGGACAATCTACAGGGGAAACATCTAGTAAACAGAAATGAAGGGTGTTTTAGGTAGTGGTGAGTTTTAGGTAGTGGTGAGTGCCGTGAAAAAAATAGGACCATGTAATGGAGAATGAATGAAAGTGGAGCTCTACTATGGGTTGAGTGGTTAGAGAGGGCCTCTTTTTAGAGGTAATATTTGATTTGCGATCAATGGCTGGAAAGAATCAGCCATAGTGACAATCTGGAGGAAGAGTGCTGTAGAGAAAGGGAACAGCAAATGCATTAAATTGGGTTTGATTCTGGAGAATCTACAAGTGAAAACTGGTTTGTCTGTTAGGCTTTTTCATAATTGCTGAAAGACAATTTAGAAAGGTTGGGAATATTTTATGTGTAGCAGCCAAATGTAATGTGTTGACCTTGTTTAAATCCTGACTCAAATCAGTAAAACTATTTTTAAAACACTTGGGAAGAATCCTGAATGGGGATGAGTATTAGATGATATCAAGGAATTGTTAATTTTGTTAGGGACGATAATGGCATTATGTTTATGTAAGAATATGCCCATATTTTTTAAAGATGGAAACTGAAGAATGAGGAGGACAAATAAGATGTCTGGCATTTGTTTAAAAATATTTCCAAGCTCAACTGGCGTTGCTCAGTGGTTGAGCTTAGATCTGTGAACCAGGAGGTCATGGTTCTGTTCCTGGTCAGGGCACATGCCTGGGTTGTGGGCTTGATCCCCAGTAGGTGGCATGCAGGAGGCAGGCGATCAATGATTCTCTCTCATCATTGATGTTTCTATCTCTCTTCCTCTCTGAAATCAATAAAAATATATTTTAAAAAATACTTCCAAGCAGAAAAGGGATACAGGGGGAAGAGAAGAGCTAAATGAAGCAAATGTGGTGTAATCTTGACAATTGTTGGGTTGGAGTGTGATAGGTATGTGGGTATTAATAACATTCTCTGCTTTTGTGAGTTTTGAAAATGTCCATGTTTAGAAATGTATTTAAAATAATTTATACCAGCATTTATTCAACAAATATGATTGCTATATTTCAGCCACTGTGTCAGTGCTTGAGTTAAAACAAAGAGCCAGGACCTTTAGGCCTGCCTCTGAGGAGCTTCTGGTTTGCTGGAGGAAGGAAGAGTTCCTCAGTGTGTACTGTGTTAACATGAAATCATAGATTTTTGTGGAGGTATACAGGATCAGCATCTTAGTGTTTATGTGATTCCTTGAAAAGTCTTTTTCTTTTTCTAGAGAATTAAAAATTTAAGAAATTCTATATGGAGCTAGCTATATGCCAGTCTAAGTCACTGTTGTAGTCATTTCCCTTATTTGTATTTACTATATAGGACATCAGAATAAATTACTTCCTTTCACCATCTCTTCATATCCCAATTTGCCTTTATTAAAATTTTTTACTTTGAAATAATTTCAGAAGTACAGAAAAATATAAAATAGTCCTGAAAACTCTTAAATAGCCTATACTTAGATTTACCGATTTTTAACACTTGTCACATTTGCTTTCTAATTCTCTTTTCTGCCCATTTATCTCTAAACTAGTGGCCCAGTGCATGAAATTTGTGCACTCGGTTGGGGGGGTCCCTCAGCCCGGCCTGCACCCTCTTGCAGTATGAGAGCCCTCAGGGGATGGCCAACTGACAGGTTAGGCCTGTTTCCCCACGGGAAGCGGGCCTAAGCTATCAGTCAGACATCCTTAGCGCTGTCGTGGAAGCGGGAGCTGTGCTTGCCAGCTGTGAACCCGGCTTCTGGCACACTGACCACCAGGGGGCAACTCCTGCATTGAGCATCTGTCCCCTGGTGGTCAGTGCATGTCATAGTGACTGGTCATTCCACCGTTTGGTCGATTTGCATATTAGCCTTTTATTATATAGCAATAGTCACAGTATATTGCATTCTCTTGCATTATCACAGTACAGTTACTAAATTTAGGAAATTTAACATTGATAATATAAAACCTTTATCTAATCCATAGACCCTATTCCAGTTTTGTCAATTATTCCCAATGATAGCATTTGTTTCTCTATAGCATTTTCCCCATAGGATCCAGTCTGGATCGCAAATTGCATTTAGTTGTAGTAACTTAGTTGCCTTTAATCTGAAATAGTGCTTTAGCTTTTTTCTTTCATTACATTAACATTTTTGAAGAATATAGGCTATATTATAGAATATTCTTCAATTTGGATTTGTCTGATGTTCCCTCATAATTAGATTCAGTTTAAACATCCTCAGGGGTTTTGTATCCTTCTCAGGTATGATACAGAAGCACATGTCATTGGTGTGCTGATGTTAATTTTTATTT